AACGTAACCGGGATTGGTTACGGACCGGAAATCAATTATCAGACTCTGTTATTATTCATTAAATTAATGGCAGCAATCAATGGCATCTTAGCAAAATGGCTGAATGTAAATTGTTATAACTAAAAAACCAGCAACAGGAAAATTAAAAAACAACTTTAAACAATGTAAAAACATGTAAAGGGTCTCTTTATTGTAGTTTCATAGCAATAGAATGTAGTCTATTCTCCTGAGAGGTACGCAAAAGTCGTACCATGCAGTGGCGTAGCTAGAATAAATGAAGAAAAAGGGCACAGTGGGGGCACTGAATAAAGCAATGCTTATGAATACTCAATATAGTAAGCTCAGTTGAGTCAGTTGTAACTTGTATCTTTCATTCTCCTGCCTAGTTCAGGCTAGTTGCAGGGGCACAAGAAGCAGTTATGAGGGCACTTGCCCCCACAGGCAGGGGCGTATCTAAGCTGTGAGAGTTGGTTGGGCACTAGGGGTGCGGGGATTATGCTGGAATAATTTTAGGAATAATAGGTTCCTTGAGAATACTAGCATAAATTAAGAATAAACGGTAGTGAACGGGAATAAAAATGGCTACTCCATGTGTTTTGATATACTCCATGTGTTGAATGGTGGAATTGCAATTCAGAAGGACTGCCAGCTTGGTCTCATGTAGCCAAAAAATCATGCTTTTACAGCCATCTAGTGGAAGCTTAGCATAGAAGGAGTATTTTTGTTACTTAACTCACATTGGTAATTAACAAGACACCTCTCTCCAAGCCTCTCTCTTGGACTATACACAGGCTTATCTTATGTTACATGAATAATTTGAGAATAATAGCCATAAATACAGAAGAATAATTACAAAAAAATTAAGAATTTGGGAATAGAATAATAGGAAATTTTTTGGGAATAATCCCCTCAGGCCTATTGGGCACTAGGGAAATATATGTGGCGCGTGAAGCGAGCCGCGATTTTGACCACACCCCTTTTTACTGCGCTAAAATATTGTTTTCCACGCATGCTTAGCTTTTCCATAGATTGTTGCTTCATATTGCACCAAATCTCTTTAAGGAGATGCTTAGCAGCGACCATTCTTTCCTCCAACCAGCTTTTGTAGCTTGAAAAAGCTCCATGCCAACGAAAAGAACCAGTTTTGCCTTTTCTTCATTCATCCTCCATTGAATCTTGCCGTCCAAAATGGCGGCCAATTATCACCGTAGGTGGATACCGTAATAAACAGTAATGATATTCATAGGCCACCGTCAATCTCACCTGAAGAGGTCTATTACTAATTAGTAATACAATCTATGGCTTTTCGAATAATTATAAGCGCTGTCACGGTAATTTTAGGCACTGTGGCGCTTCCTACTGCTCTTTAAAGCACTGGAAAATGCTGAAATTGAGGCTGAAATGATTGTTAAGTGTGTTGAATAACTTTCTTAAGACGCTTAGCAGTGATATGAGACACCAGAGCTTAAAGAAGCAGAAGAAAGAAATGTTGATCCTTCAGGCTAATGGGGGTGCTCAAGCACCCCCTAAATGCTTATATTTTCTTTTGTAGTAGTACTGGCCTTGGAGAGACATTGAAAAAGACTCAGCACAGTTTTTAGCCATTTTTCACTAGTGAATAGTCTAATAACAGATTGGTTAATAGTAGTTATTATCTTAAAAATGGCAGCCCAAATGCCCAAGTGGAATTATGGAAGTCTCTACCATGTTGTCATCATATTTACACTACTAAAACTATTAGCTATGCTAGTCTTGTCTCATTGCTTTCATCATAATAAAGTGAGTAATACTTTTAAAAGGACTAATATACAAAAGAATTTTTTTTACTTCTGAGTTGGTCGGGCACATCCCCACCCAGGCCCACCCTTAGATACCCCCCGCCCACAGGCCCCC